CCGATAGCGTCACCATCATCACGAGACCTATGATGAGAGTCCCGGTGCAAGCCAACATGAGGGGCGCGCTAAGGGAGTAGTCTCCGAGGCTCCCCATCTTCACACCTCTCTATCTCCTTCAGCTACCATTGGAGCTTCCGGATACGACCGAGTGTACAACCCGGTCGTAGACGCCATAGGGGGAATACCCCTCTCTCTGATGACCTTATGAATACCCCATGTGAGAAATTCAAGATGCCTCACGTGGAGAAGTACAAAGGTGAGGGAGACCCCTCCGAATACCCTCCAAAGTTTTTAAAAGTTCACGGTTGACTAGGACGAATTTTCGGAATACTTTGGATCTCAACTCTGATCTTGGAGCTAATGAATAGGGTGTAACCGCCCCCTTAAACAGTTCCCCAAATCGTGGGAAAAATGGTTTTGAAACCGTTCAGTTCGTGCTTTGAACGAGTTAAACGCTGAAAAATAACGTTCAGGGCCCGAACTCTGCGTTTTAGACTTGAAACGCAGATTTGGGCCTATTTTGGTGGCTGAACGCACAGGTCGCGCTGCTTTGTAAATCTGAAACGCAGAGTTGGGACGTAGAGATAAACTCCGCGTTTTGAGTTTGCGAACCCTGCGTTTTCAACTAGAGCGCTAGGGATGAACCCTGCATTTTGACTCTAAAACATAGGAATGACCTCTACGTTTTGAGGTTGTAAAACAGGGATGACCTCTGCGTTTTGAGGTTGTAACATAGGGATGACCTCTGCGTTTTGATGTGAAGAGACCATCAATTTATGGTCTCTTTTGTTGGAGCGTTGCAAAGACCGTTATCTTGTAATCTTCATCTTGGCTCCTTAAAAATATGAGAGTCGTCAGATTGTAACTCCTGATGTTGATTGTGAGGGTTGTTGATTAGAGCTTTCATCAGTTATTGTGAAGGTCGTCAGATTGTAACCTTCATCGATCTACGTGAAAGTCTACAAATTGTAGCCTTCTGGAAGCCGTCGAATTGTAACTTCCATCATCGGTGTTTGATGGGGATCAGCTATCTGTTATGATTTTTAGACAGCCTACAGAACCCTCTCCAAAGTTTTCGAAAGTTCACGATTGACTAGGACCAATTTTCGGAATACTTTGGATCTCAATTCTGATCTTGAAGCTATTGATTCCTTGTCGTAAGAGAGTTGTTCTCTCTAATGAATGGGGTGTAACCGCCCCCTTAAATAGTTTCCTAAATCACGGGGAAAATAGTTTTGAAACCTTTCAGTTCGTACTTTGAACGAGTCAAACGTTGAAAAATAGCGTTCAGGGCCTGAACTCTGCATTTTAGACTTGAAACGTAGAGTTGGGCCTATTTTGGTGGTTGAACGCACAGGTCGCGTTGCGTTGTAAATCTGAAACACAAAGTTGGGACGCAGAGATGAACTCCGCGTTTTGAGTCCGCGAACCCTGGGTTTTCAACTGGAGCGCTGGGGATGAACCCTGCGTTTTGACTCTGAAACGTGGGCATGACCTCTGCGTTTTGAGGTTGTAACACATGGATGACCTTTACGTTTTGAGGTTGTAACACTGGGATGACCTCTGCGTTTTGATGTGAAGAGACCATCAATTTGTGGTCTCTTTTGCAAGAGCACGTGGTAAAGACCGTCATCTTGTAATCTTCATCTTGGCTCCTTAAAAATATGAGAGTCGTCAGATTGTAACTCCCGGTGTTGATTGTGAGGGCTATTGATTAGAGCTTTCATCAGTTGTTGTGAAGGTCGTCAGATTGTAACCTTTATCGATCTACGTGAAAGTCTGCAAATTGTAGCCTTCTGGAAGCCATC